TGGCTTTCTTCACAAACTCTGCAGGCCAGAAGGGAGTGGCAGGAAATATTCAAAGTGATGCAAAATAAAGGCATACAACCAAGATTGCTCTACCCAGCATGGCTATCACTTAAAATTGAAGCAGAGATAAAGAGCTTCTCAGAAAAGAATAAGCTTAAGGAATTCATTACCACCAAGCCAGCACTGCAGGAAATGTTAAAAGGGCTTTTTTTAAACAGAAGAAAGGGAAAAATAAGCTAACCCAGGAAGATCAGCAATACAAACAACAAAATGGCAATAAATATGCACCTATCAACAATCACTTTAAATGTGAATGGATTAAATGCTCCAATCAAAAGACACAGAGTGGCTGAGTGGATAAGAAAACAGGAACCATGCATATGCTGTTTACAAGAGACACATCTCAGATCAAAAGACACACACAGACTGAAAGTAAAGGGATGGAATAAGATATTTCACGCAAATGGAAATGAGAAAAAAGTGGGAGTAGCAATACTTATTTCAGACAAAATAGACTTTAAAATGAAGACTACAATAAAAGACAAAGAAGGACACGCCATAATAATAAAAGGATTGATTCAACAAGAGGACATAACCCTAGTAAACATCTATGCATCCAATATAGGTGCTCCTAAATATATAAAACAGATTTTGACAGACATAAAGACAGAGATCAACAGCAACACTATCGTAGTAGGGGACTTCAACACTCCGTTGTCAGCAATGGACAGATCCTCCAGACAGAAAATCAACACGGAAACTCTGGCCTTCAATGACACTTTAGACCAGCTCAATTTAATTGATATTTTTAGAGCATTCACCCCAAAGCAACAGAATATACATTCTTCTCAAGTGCACATGGAACATTTTCCAAGATAGAGCACATGTTAGGACACAAAACCAGTTTCAATAAATTTAAGAAGATTGAAATCATATCAAGCATCTTCTCTGACCACAATGCTATAAAACTAGAAATCATTTATAAAAAGAAACATGGAAAGCACACAAATACATGGAGGCTGAATAACATGCTACTAAATAGCGAGTGGGTCAAAACTGAGATCAAGGAGGAAATCAAAAGCTATCTCAAGACAAACGACAATAAAAACACAACAACTCAAAATCTACAGGATGCAACGAAAGCAATCCTAAGAGGAAAATTCATAGGAATACAGGCCTATCTAAAGAAACAAGAACAATCTCATATCAACAGACTATCTTTACACCTAAGGGAACTGG